GACTTACAGTCACTTTACCCAGCAGCCCGCCAAATTATTGTCCTGCTAGTGCCATCAATAAGATCAATACAAATCTAACTCAGTAATTCCCGTAATATACAGCCCTGCATATAACTTTCATTGATTCTCGACCAGAAGTCGTTCGTGGCAACACAAATGCCATAACTCGCTCCATCCACTGAATTGTCCGTTTCATACTCTGAAACATTATTGATAATTTTGTATGAAAAATATTAGACCTCTATCAAGAGTTATAGTATCACGTAAAATATTTATCTGACTGAACAACATTTCCTGGTAATTTGTCAGAATTTAAAATTTTGTAAACTGGCTCGCCTCATGCAACTTGTCACTTGAGAATAAGTAGTAATAACGATTATCAGAACTTCGAGTGATATATTATAAACACCAGGAGAAATATCTTCTTGAGTGTATTTTTCAACAGCTATTTGAGCAAAAAATATCCTAAACTCAACGTGAAAGTTTATTTGGCTACAAAACGTCAGACATTTCACTTTCACGGTAGACAATCTACCGACGAAGAAGTCTTTCCAAAATATCAATTGTATTCAAATCCTCATATGTTAGGAAATGAAGTTATTCGGCCTGGAATAATGATAACTGCTGGTATCCAGTAACGCTACTGCACTGAAACAGACATGCTCATTCAAATCACGAGACATACAAACAAACAAGGGCCATTTGACTAAAATTAGTTCAGTCAAGTGGTTAGAACGCTACACTGTGGGAATTATCAAACAACTGGAACCGTAGAGGAAGAAAAAGAATGGAGCATAGAGAAATCAACTGGATTATTCTAGCTCGAGAAAAGTTATTGATCATTGGAAATCGAAATCTAAAATGCCCGCTGTCACCTTAATCGCTAAAGGCCGTACCCTCAAGAGGTAATTTCAAACAAAGTCTGAGTTTCATGTATATTCCTTGGCTTTTTTTCGTTCTGCTACGTTAGGCTTAGTCGCATTGTATGTAATAAGATTGATAGGCTTCAAAAATAAAACCTTTTTTGGGTTTTCTCGTTTCATGCATTGTCGAGTAAATCATTTTATTTGGTTCCTGGTTGTAATTAATTTAACTCTACAGCTTCTATGCGTAAACGATAGATGAATATAATATTCAAATCGAAATTAGTGGATCCCCGCACTTTTTATTGGTTTTATTAGTTGTTGGGTCACTATCGTGCTTTGATTTTATTCATTCATTGCTGACCTATTGTTTCTGTACATTAGCTGAAGCGCTATGATCGATATCAACTCCACGATAACGTTGTCGAAATATAAGCATAGCTGGGCGTGTTGAGGCAATGAATGGTGAGATCTGCTAGTGTGCGTAGCCTATTATAACGTTAGTCAAGCTGACTTAACTATTAAGAGTTTTCACCAATATATATTTTCTTGAGTCATATCTTCGTTTCATAACCTTTTCTGTTGTAACTAATACTTTTAGTAACAATACTATCTTGCTGTGTTATTGAGGTAGGACTAATTGAACTGATGTTCATACGTACCAAGTTGCAACTGACCGACTCCGGATACATTCATTAGATTCGAGTCAGTGGTTATTTTTAAACATATTAAATGACATGCTCACTTTTGCCGTATAGTGCATTTGAAGTACTTATCAACATATTACGCGAACTTCGTTTTGAATAAGCAAGTATTTTTGTGCGTCCAAACTAGTTGGCGATTTTAAAACTTCGATCACTTACTATCTAGCCAGTAGGATATTTCAGTGTACTCAAGATTGAGATATTTTATTCAATCACTTATGGTTGACATTTTCTTCTCTGCCATTGATATTACTACCAATACGTCGACTGCGTTCCATGACGATAGTCAAATTGAGTTAGCTGAACACTTCAAATCACTTTTTGGTATCTACTTAGTAAACCGATTAACGGTCTTCTTAGTATCCTTCACGTCTGTTAAATTTAGTGGCTACTCGTTAATCTTGTGCTCATGGTTACATAATTGGTTGCGTTTAGTGGTATTGAGTCTCCAGTAATTTCTTTCGCAGGTATACCTGAAATGCCAAAGCGCAACAACCCGGAATCTCCTACGGACTCAGTAATTGGAGTTTCGGGAGATGAGTCTCAATCAAGCAGCACAACAACTCGAAAACGATGTCGTCTGGCTAATGCTTCTCAGGTAATACCTTTTTTAGCGAACCTGTATATGACTGTATTGACTCACGGATTTTTACTATCGTTTGTACGCTTCAGGATGCTTTTTAGTTAACATTAGTTATGTTAAGATGTTATTTGATACGTTTTTATTAACAGTTCGAATCGTAGTTACTAGGATCCGATCTTGCAAGCTAATTCGACAATGCCCTTTGACCTGTTTGTATTAAAACGGCTTAATCGCACGTGTCCCACAGTAATTCAGTGCAAAAAGTATTTCATCCAAGGTACTAGAGTTGAGGGTTCTGATTATTGAAAGTTTATCATATCTGAGTTCCTAGCGACATCTTTTTTTATTTGAGAAAATATGTTTTAGTAAATTTCACTTAAAACTTATCACGGAGATATGAATAGTAACAAATAAACCCGTTTCAACAGATAATTTTCAGTCAATAGAGGATTAAAGTCCTACTCAACGCCTTCACGCTGCAGTGGTATCGCCTAAAGCAATGATACATAATAACGTACCAAGCTCATCATCATCAACAGCAACGTAGGACTTTGCACATAAGTACAGCAGTTGACGTTGCCATACCACATTCGCACAGAGATATAATTGTCAATTCAAATCCCATAATAATAGAGATAGTAAAAGTATTAGAAGTAATCAGAGAGATTACGGTTAGATGTTATTCTACGTTGCATCTGACTAACTAACTAATGTTATTCAAAAAGTAAAATTCAGTGAGGTAAATTTAGAAAGAGAAAGATATAGGTGATTAGGAATTCAGGTTAGAATTTCATAGCACACAAAGAGTAAATGCACCTGCGCCAATGCAGACGGTTTTGAGCCATGTGACTCAGGGTCTCTAACCATCGATTACTATCGTCTCGTGGGCCCCAACCAGGTAGTCAACACCTACCGACATGACGTATCAAGCTACTGCATTACTTTAACTCCAGGACCCTAGCTTTACAGCCGCGGTGGATCGACAGATTGCAGTTCTGTACAACTAGAGTTCTAAAATGGTTTTCTGAAAGTTCGGTCATTTACTATAATGTGAAGACATAATCTCGTTCCAGTAGACACCTGCCTCTGATGAACTTAATGTGTCTCAACATCAAGTATGGGGAAAATGTAAGCCTCCTATAATTCACTATGAATGAGACTGTAATGTTCTCCTCTAAAGTTGATATTTCTCACTTATTATTTTCAATGTATGCATGTCAGTATTTGGTACCTTTATTATTATAGTTGGATTTGTGTCAAGAACTGTTTGATCGAATTCGGGCATATCGTGGAGAGGATGGTACATTATCTGAAGCATTTATGCGTCTACCAACAAGAAGGTACATTTTTCCACTTGCGAAATGTTTGTTTGTGATATGCTTTGTGTTCGTATTCTGTAAAACTAGACTCGGTGTGTGAGATTACATTATAAATGCTGCTATTTACAACCAAAGTTCTGTAGGACCACTACTAAGATTTAATATTCACGATAATCGAAACATTTTTGTAACCACCGACAAATCATTAGTGGTTACCAAAGTCAGTCACTGATTCTAGGGAATTGTTGGTAGTTATTGTAAATTCCGCTATAAAAATTCTATAGTATTTATTATTGGGATCAGTTTGAGCAGTGTAATCGATCTTATTTCAGTCCTCCAAAATCTGGAAATATTTTCTATTCTCACTACTAATATTTGTCAGTCCTACACTAAAATATCAGTGTCGCTTAGTGGTACTAATAATGTTAGATATAGGATACTAGGTAAATGAGACAAATCGGTTGACTTACTCATGGATTTACTTCCTGTAAGGTGGCTGGAAAATGTGTTTTACTGATGCCTTGCCGTTGCCTATCTCAACAAAACTCTGGATCATATAGGAGTGAGTTTGGAGAAAACTAAAAGTGGTTAAACCAATACAAGACATCATACTACAAAGTCATTGATTGTTTAGCTGAGTACTATTTATAGATGCAGACCGCTCGTATAGGATCTACTCTACGCTTTCAATCGACCAGTCAGACGTGTACGACGTAAAACCTGGTAAATATGTGCATCGGTTCTGGTTGACCGTTCATATTAGAACGAGATGAGATTATCAAGAAAAATCCCATGGTATTAGAATTAGTAACAGTACCAGTAATAATAGTATAGAATTGGTTATAGACGATTTGACTCCTCCATACTACTACTACATACTAATATAAACTAATGTACTACTACCTTGATTTCTACACATTTCCTTTTGACAATTCACTTACTATATGAAAACTTGACAACCATTGTTTTTCTCCTGTGTAGATCAAATGCAGATTACTATGAGGCAGTAAGAGAACCTATGGATTTGGCTCGTATCCAAGCAAAAATCAAGGCATGTGAGTATGAAAGCGTCGAACAGATGGCTACAGATATCAATTTAATAGTGGCCAATACAAAATCATTCTATCCCGCTTCAACAACTGAGTTCGCCAAAGCCGTTGAATTACAAGATGTTTTTGACCATGAGCGTCAAGTACTTCAAGCAATAACTACTAAGAGTACTGATTCCACTGCAAGTTCAACAAGCAGTAGCGGTATGTTTTAAGATTATTACTATTTTAAGTGAATTTTTTTTTCAATAAGAGTAAATAATTAGTTTTTACCTTTCAATTACACATCCAAGCATTTTATCAGCGTCTTACCATCTTGATTTTTTGTCGTTGCTCAGTGTTTTTATTATTTCATTTTAGTTAGCGATAGGCGTACAACTCGCAGGCGTGCAATAATTACTGAAGAACGAGATGAGGAAGAGGTTTGTTTATTCTTTTTGACATATAAACATATATATATACCTCGTTGATATGGTTTGTATTTTGATCTTATTGTTTACTATGCCAAACACATTTGATCTCAGTTCGATTATATGCTTTACTTTGTGTGATCAAATATTTGATGTATTTATCCGATATATAGTTCTAGTCCCATGATAATTGCATCATCGTTTCTGTAGTTTCAGTCAAAAAGTTGATAGAGTTATGAGATGCCTTGTATTACACGATTATTAGTATCTAGTCTTTAAGTCGAAAGTCGATGCTTCTTCAGAGAATAAGTAAATAACCTAAATGCATTAACACAAGTTTACTTCGTACAGCCGAAAAAAAACAAACAATATTAAACACAATCAAAATAATCCTGATCACATTACAAATATATTATTTTATTATCATAAATCATCCACTCAGTGCTTAGTCTATTTCAAAATATCAGAGACAATTTTTGGATATATCTTTAAAAGTACAAAACCGAGAATGTAGTTATTTAACCCATGTATGACAAGACATATATTGAGCTGTCGCAAATTAGGCTGTTAACTCTCCCTCTTCAGTTGCTATTATCTTTAGAGATATCTAAAATTATCTTCATTCAAGTAAAATCTCTGAGATACAATGAATGTACCATTAATTATTGAAGATAAATGTAATTAAAAATTACCAGACACATTAATCACTACAGCTCATTCATTTTCTTACCATACATGCAATTCATGATTTCATAATCTTCAATAGAGTATTATGAATAAGGTCACTGTTTGTCATTTGTTTTTATTTTTTTATTTCGAGTATTTTCATATTTTGATCAAAAATCTCTTCATGGTTATATTCATCAAAATTTGCTAAAAAAATAGTGTCAATAATGTTGTTCTCTAAAAATTTTCATCATACTTTTATTTTCACCAACAAAATTCTTAAGGCTGAAGCTTTATCAATTGCAGCTTCAGATGATTCACGTACAGCTCCATCCGAAGCTAGCACTAGTCAACCAAATTCAACACAATTGGATAATCCATATGAATTATTATTTGCTTCTATTGCAAAATATGTTAGCGAAAATGATCGTCCATTAGCTCCAACATTTACTCATTTACCATCTAGAGAGGTTAGTAATTTTGTTTATTTATTCATGTCTAACTAATTTATACAAGTTAAGTTTACTAATTTTAATTGAATAAGTTTGTTGTGCAAGTGCATTTTGGTGGCAATTAGGATTTTAATTTCGTTTTATCTGTACCTTGTTTAGATTGAATAAACTACTTCAGTTTATATCTTTACTCCTGTTTATCGCAAGAAATGGTTATACTGTTTTCTTCTAGAACATAGGAGCATGAATCAACAATCATGAACATCATATATATATATATATATATATATATATATATATATATATATATATATATATAGGATCAGTTCTTACAGAGCCATTCACTACGGAACATAATGTATATATTTGATTTTGTAGCAATTGTGTAAACAGTTGAAATATAAACTCTATACTATTACTCTTTCATTAGTCAATATCTTTTTTCATTTCAGCTTTATCCTGTTTACTACGTTGTTATCAAGGAGCCAATTGATTTAAGAATGATTGCCAGACGGATTTTATCTGGAAAGTATAATTCCATGGATGAATTGGAGAAGGATTTTTTATTATTAGCACGGAATGCTAAAACCTTTAATGAACCAAAGTCAGTTATCTATCAGGTTCGTTAGAGAATTAACAAATTAATAGTTTGTGTTTTATATTGGCCATATTGGTATCGGTATGTTGACTTATGTTTCAAAATTAATATATCCTAAGTAAGAACCTCATAGACCAACTAGTTGGAATTAATTTATCATTATAATGAATAATTAATGTAGCTAAAACACATCACCTAATATAATTATTAACATGTTTATAACTTCAAATATCTTATGTGTGAATTATCATATTTGTTCTTCAGGATGCGGCAACATTGGCTAGAATTCTAAAGGGTAAGCGTAGTGAAGCAGAGCATCCGCCAGTTAGAACTAATCGAGAGCGTGGAAAGTAAGTAAAATACTTTCATCTAAATTTTGAGTGTGTTCTTAAAGTTATTTAACCCTGTTTTTATGCTTTGTTTTACCACACGTTTTATACCATTTAGGATTGTGTCTCATGATAATGTCTACATCCTTTATTTTTTAACTTTTAGACGAGCCTCTCGTTTAAATTACATACCCCATGAGGTTGTAGAACAGTTTGCTTCAATGCCTGATTTATCTGATCCTCCTGATAGTTCAAGTCAAATGGACGAATCCACTGAGGCAGCTTTTGAGCTTTCTGGTGATGATGAAGATACTCAAGCAACTGGTACATCTCAAAGCTGTTCATCGGTAGCTTCATTTTCTGTCAAAAGAAAACGTGGACGCCCACGTCGTAATCTATATCATGAAGATTCAATAAAACGAAGTCCATCTCGAGAACCTCTTTCTCCAGCAAGCATACTTTCTCAGCATAGTACAAGTGCAGCTGGTGAACTAGGCGGAGCGAATTTACCACATTCATGTACTTCACGAGCTCATAGACGCTTACAAGAAAAACTTTTGCAAGTTGTATTGGATGCTCTTAATGAAGATGGTCAACCAATGTCAACACCATTTTTCCGACTTCCATCTAGGAGGTGCGTGTGTGTATGTGTGTAACAATTTTTTTGGAGATAACTTTGTCATTCCGATTCGTGTATATCACACATGTACCACATGCATTTACTTGGTTTTGATTTTTTTTATTCCAGATTATATCCGGACTATTATGAAGAGATTACCAATCCATTATGTCTCTCGAGCATAAAGAAGAAAATTAAAGTAACAATAATAATAATAATTTATACTTCGTATCTATTATCTTGTATTTTTTTAAAAAAAATCATTTATGTTGATTCATTCGTTAATATTGATTGAACTTATCTTACAAATTGCTTATAACTAACTTTTCGAATTCAGTAGTTGGATTATCATCCATCACTGATGATCTTATCTTTTTCTTCCTTTTCTTCTTCAGAGATATGAATATTCTTCATTAGACACTGTCCTCATTGATTTAGATATAGTATTTAATAATGCCCAACAGTATAATGTTGAACAAAGTGCCATACATCAAGATTCTATTCGTTTACAACAGATTGCTCATAAAAAATGTGAAGAATTAAAGAATTCAGAAATAGCAGTAAGTTGTTTGCTTGCTTGCTTACTTACTTATATTATTGTTTCTTACTTTTAACGAATAATAATTATTTTATCTATTAAACAAGCTAACATTTTTGTATGATTACTTTTTGTGCTGATCTTTTAAAGTTGAATATAAAACCGGATAATCCAGATGGAGCTTCATTTAGTCCTAATGGAAATAATCTAACTGTATCGTCGACTACACTATCAGAAGGCATGAATTATTATGCACAATATGATCAAACTCCACTTAAACGACCTGGACATCAAATAATCACAGGAGAAGAGGCAACTTTGAAACGTTTGCAAACTTTGTACAAAACTGTTTATTATTTTCGTGCAGTAAGTTGTTTTTTTGTTTGTTTGTTTGCTGCCTAAATAAATATATATGACTTCATGTGCTATGCAGTTTAATTTGGTAATATTTTTAAAATTATTATTTTCTGTTATTTATTTGTAATCTTTTCTCTTTTATCCTATGTTTAATTAGAATGATGGACATTATCCTCGAGATACATTTGTAAGCTTACCGTCTAAAGATGTTTATCCGGATTATTATCAATTAATTGCTAATCCAATCGATTTAACTATGATTAAACATAAAATGGATGAAGGAAAAGTAAGCTTTTATTGAAAAAAAATTGATATTACATAACATTTGTTTATTTATTGTTGGACTGCTGTCACCGGTATTGATTATGACCGATTTGGTCTCGCTTGCTGTTGGATAATTGTGTTTATTAACTTTTCTATATGTTAACCATTGGTTCACATGTTCAGAATTGGCACTGTCTATTTATTTCTTTGTGTGCCTTATTTACATCGCATTGGTATCAGTAAATTCATTGAATCTATGACTGTTAGTTTTGTTTATGATACGATGTTTGTAAGATTATAGTATGCTTGGAAATCGCATTATTTTTCGTTTATTATAGTGTCAGATATTGTATTCGTTTATTTTCAATCCAGATGATCGCAAAATGATGTTATTTTTTTAACATTAGTATGTCATCGCTGTTCAACTACTTTAGTCATGTGATTTGTTCCATAGACCTATTTATGTCCTCATTTGTATTTAGCGTTTCACTAAAAATAGGTGTGATCATCCCTGAAAAATTATTCAAATACTGTTAAGTTCGTCACTAGGTACACTTGAGCTATTACGAGTTTACCTTGGTCAATAAACGCGAACAAGACAATTACTAGCGTCCAGGTAGTCTACCTTGATCCCAAACTGCAAAAGAGAGATCTTGATAAGCGTAGAAAGTATATTCTACAACACCCAGCAAGCACAATACGATCAAGCACACAACTCTCGTTTATTTATACATCATAGAAACGTCACAATCACAAAGAATAGCACACTAAAATACACAGCAGCCAATCACAGGCAAGGATTTTCCTGGTGGGAAATGAAATCTCAAGGCCAACCGATCAGACCATGCTCGCAAACGTGAAGGCATTTATCAAGCTAGTTCTGGGGATCTAACATCCCTAACAAATAGGCGGATAAATAATTTCGAATGTAGACCTCTTTAATTATGTAAGTACATTATATCTGATAACTAGTGGGTGAATATAGTACAAACAAGCTGAAGTATAACAATCACATACGATGCAGTGACTTACTTTTGTAAGTCTATTACTGGTTGTGATGAATTATTTAGATACAATTTTATTTGCAACAATGTACACGGAATATCAGAGACTAATGAATTCCGACACACGTTTTTATTTATTGTAAACTTCAGTATTAGGAGGTTTGTCAAAATGTTGATTAATTTAGACAGTGTTCTTAAATGATTTTTAAGGTTTTGAAAAATATATCATCAAAGCCTATGATAAGTATTCTAATTTTGTAGTATTCAGTTTTCTAAAAGATCCCATACATTTCCTCTTTGATTGTTCTGTATTTCAGTACTCGTCACACGACGAAATGGTTCTTGATCTTCAATTGATGTTTAACAATGCTTGCAATTATAATGAAGAAGGTTCCTCAGTTTATAATGATGCTAAGCTTTTGGATTCAGTTGTCAAGAAGCGTCTTAAGACTTTTGTCTCATATACTGGAATTGTTAATCGACCTTTAACTTCACGTAGTTCAGAACCGTGAGTTTCATTTCATGTTTTTTCTTCTTGCCATTAAAATGAATGTAAATATTGTTGGAGGTACTTTTAAAAGTAAATCCCTAAATTAAAGCTACACTACACCAACAATAATTCACTACATATGTACGTCCATATGCTTTATATTCAATGATATAATATAACTATACATTTGTGAAGGGAAATATATGGACATCGTCACTATCGACAACACAGAAACAGCGATGCTAACCCTGTAGTAGGTTATTTTAAGATATCGATGTTGGTCGAGTTATGCGATAAAAGAAGTGGTATCCCAATCTATACTAACCACAGTTCACTTATGCCAATCACAAAAGATTTCTTAGTAGTGAATTCGTAAAAAGATATAGCTCCGCTTGTGATACAATCTATTAACTATTTTTTGTCAACAAGATGGCTTGTATGAAATTGCAAAATGGTCTGTTCCAAAGCTTAATATCTATTATCCTGAAGGACATTAGGTTGTCGTTGTCACAATGATACAAATGTTTGCAGATCATGTATACCTGCGAAATTATTACATCACTTGCTTATTTAAAGCTTTCACGTGTAGTACAACCATAAAGTGAGCGAAAACGAGTTTGAAGTTATGATCTCAAGTGCAAATAATAATTCGATGGATATGTTTCTAAACTTTCATTAGCTGATGTGGTTGAGACAAGGGATATGAATACGTATCCGCAGCATACCTACTTGGCCGTTAAGAGTAGAGGACTTTCGTAGGTTACTAGTCTTCGATCATCGATGTCTCCGAAGCATTGCTCGTGTATCGCGGATCAACTGTGTAAGCAATACTATCGTTAGGAAAAGAGTTCTAGGTAAGGATGGCAAATCAATAGATGAAATATTGAAACTTCGTCAGTTGAGGTGGTTGGGACATGTGTTGAGTATGCCTAACCACCGAATGCCTCGACGAGCTATGTTTTACAGTGTAGGAGTAGATTGGAAGAAAGCTAAGGGCGGCCAAACCAAAACATGGCAGAAATCCATGAAGTCACTGACAAGTGGACTGAGTCATGTTGGTAGATGTAGACTACCTGGTTGTGGTCCGCGAGACGATAGTCGCCGATGGTTAGAGAGAGACCGTGAACGACATGGCTTAAAATCGTTTGCAATGGCTCAGATGCATTCACTCTTTGTGTTCTCTCTAATATTGACCTTATGAATTCATCATCTTTAGCTTTCTCCTTCTAAATTTATCTTACTGAATCATACTTCTCGAATCAAATCATATCTTCGCTCCCTAATGTTCTCCATTACTTCTAATACTTATATTATTGCTATCACTGTTGGATTTGAACTGACAGTTGCGTCTCTGTGCTGATGGGGCATGGCAACCTGGAGTGATGTACTTACGTACGAATTTCTGCGTTGTATCTGTCTGTCGGCGGCATACCTTGGCGCGTATTACGTGCTACTGTAGGTGAAAATTAAAAATAATCTGACGAAAGTATAGTGTTGGTTTATGAAGTGATTGGTTGTTGAACAAAGCCGTCAGTCAAAATGTAGGCCATGTGACTGTTGTCAATGCAGTGGTTTTGATTTTTACTATAAGACCTAATTTTTTGCAAAGCTAAAAGTTAGCTGCAGTAATGTCAATACATTTAATCTTATCTTCTCCTGAACCTTGAATCTTAACGTTATCTCAAATCGTGCATCTGTCAATCCTATCTGGGTTTTTTTAATTATAGACCGTGTATATGGATATTTCATTATTGTTATCTGTTCTTTTATTCCTCACCACTCTAATGTGGGGTGTAATGAAACAAAGTATATGCATCTGCACTAAATTATTTGTTTGTGACCATGATTTGAGCTACTGATTCATTATTGTTGTCAAAGAGTTTATCATTGAAATTAATATGTAAAGAGAAAATTCTGTCTAAGAAATTACAATCTGTTCTAATATTTAATTCAACCCACTTTCTTATCAATGAAAATGATAATTTCTCCGCGACCAGACCATTTAACTGGGAAAACGAAATTCCGCTATTATCATCCGTCTGAGCTACAAATTTTCTCCACTATCTCATTGTTTTTTTTCTCAATAAGTAGAGTGGTCTAATGTTTCAACTGCCTTCTAACCATATCTCGTAAATCCACTACCTATTTTTCGCCATTAACTGTTTATTGATTTCGACCATAGGTGTCTTCGAAGCATTGCTCGTATATCCTGGGACAACCGATTGAGCAATGCTGTTATTAGGAAACGGATGCTAGGTAAAGATGGCAGGTCAATAGATGAAGTATTGAAACTTCATCAGTTGAGGTAGTTGGGATATGTGTTGCGTATGCCTAACCACCAACTGCCTCGTCGAGCTATATTTTGCGGTGTAGGAATAGGTTGGACGAAAGCTAGGGGCGGGCAGAACAAAACATGGCAGAAATTCATGAAGTTACTGACAAATGGACTGAGTCATGTCGGTAATTGTCGACTACCTGGTTGGGGTCCGCGAGATGTTAGTAATCGATGGTTAGAGATCCTGAATGACATGGCTCAAGACCGTTTGCAATAGCTCAGGTGCATTCATTCTTCGTGTTCTCTCAAACCCTAGACTTTTCAATTCTTCATCACTTTATCTTTTTAAATCTATTTCACTAGATTCTACTTCTTGAATAATATCTTCTAATCCTAACCTCTCCGACTACTGCTAATACCTCTACTACTATTGGATTTGAATTGACAATTACATGTCTGTGCTAACGTGGTATAGCAACATGAACTGATGTACTTATTTACGAAGTTCTACGTTGGTACTGATTGATTTATTGATTATTGTTTCTGGATTGAATTGTGTAGGCAATCGGAAGATTAAAAATTTTATTCGGATGCACGTAAGATCATCCGTGTTTTTCAAATTCCTAATTTCCTCAAATTTTGTAATTTCGTATGTCATTTGTAACAAAACTTCAATATTTATTTCATCTCGACAAAAGTCAACATCACATAAATGGTTTAGAGACAGAATAGAGCAGTAATTGTTCGTTTAACTTTAATTTACCTATTGATTCACTTAGTTGACTTGTGGTAATGTTATTTGAATAGTCTCTTTTATTATTTTTTTAAAAACTAATCTATATATTTTTTTCTTTTCACATCATAAATTTATTTAAACAATTTCTAAACTTATGTTAAATGTAGCCTAACTCAACAGTTAGACGTTCCAAATATTCAATCACATGCTGGTTTAGTCAATACCGTTCCTGCTGTCCATCATCAACAACCTGGACAACCAACTTGTTCACTCTTACAACGTGTCATGTTGGAGCTTTTTCAAGCAGTTCGGGAATATCAAATCAACGGAAGAATTTTATCTGAACCATTTATGCGTCTACCAACTAGAACTGAGCTTCCAACTTATTATGAGTTTATTAAGAAGCCTGTAGAATTACAAACTGTGGCTAAACAACTGGTTCAAATGAAATATACTGATTTTGAAGAGTTCGCTAGTGAACTTTTTCTGATGTTTGACAACGCATGCCGATTTAACGAACCTGATTCACAAATTTACGCGGTAAGCGTAATTTTTTTTCTTAGCTACTTACTTTTTTTAATAATTCTAAAATTGTTAACACAATATTAAATTTTTCATTGGTTTAGGATGCACTCATTCTTCATAGAGTATGTCTTACCAAGCGATCATCATTATTATCTACTCACCATCAGTCTCTCTCAATACCTCCATGTGTTGCCCCTGATGTCGCTACTGGTTTACGCCGTCTGTTGACAAACCTTCATAATGCAATGTTAACCGCTTGCGATGCAGATGGTCGAGGATTAGTAGATTCATTGATAGCTGGTGATGGCACTGAGTCCACACTTACTTCAGTGACTGCAGCTCGTTTGGCTGCTCTTCATCGTGCAGTGGCAGAAGGCTCCTATCATCGTCTGGATAGTCTTCAGTCAGATTGGCTCGGGATATTAGCCAGAGCCCGAATTGGAGAAGGATCAGACCAACCAGCAGAAGTGAAAAATCCTTGTCCTACTAAACAACAACGTTTAGATGCTGCTGAATTAGCCCATCGTTGGGTGCGTCTTAGGGATGAATTATGCCATCGACAACAACGAAGATCAGGAACTCAGACATGTACACCAAATAACGATTCTGGATCTGTATTGCCCAATCATGTGGTTTTGTACAGTCCTGCTTTGTCGTATACAGAAGCAGCCTTAGAGCGTGACATTACTGAAGAAAATGCAAACCATAAACTTCCAGTTTATGATGATGAAAATGGAGAAGAAACTTTAAATCCACTTTTAGATGGCGAATGCGAGTTGAAAGTAAGAATTTTTATCATAGTTATTGTCTCAATATTGCCTAGTAGTGTTATAGATAGTTGATTTCGATAAACTTTCCATATTTATACTAATTATCAATTCATAATGTTATCAGTCATTAATTATTCATCTAATTTGTATGGTTCATGCTTCCTAGTTGGGGTATTCAATACAATAGTTTGAGATTTTAGGTGTTTTTATGCAAAATCAATGAACCTGATTGCTCTGGGACCATTAAAAAGTAGGAAGCTTGTTTTTTCTTCACAAGAGAGCTTTTCTGTATATTAACTTTAGTTGTACAGCATACCTCACTGTATAGTTTGCAAAAACTTTGAATTGAGTGGAACAGTACGATGCAGAATGAGAATTGAGAGTGAAACAGCAATGATAATGATAGCGTATACACTTGCTGACGCTAATTATGCACTGGATATAAAGTCGATGGGCGTAGTTTCGGTATTAACACATCATCTCGACCAGTGGTGACGTATTTTTTGATGAAATATCATGGTGAAGATCATAATTGTCCGAAATGTTGAAGTAGAAAAGATTATTTATAGGATAGTTCCAATAAATTAACTATGGTCAGTCAGTCACTTACAACGTAGAACTTCGTACGTACGTACATTAGTTCAAGTTGTCATACCACATCAGCACAGAGTCGCAATTGTCAGTTGAAATCCCATATTGGTAGAGATAGTAGAAGTATTAGCGTTTATTGAGAAGATTAGGGTTCGAAGATATTATTCAAGAAGTAGCATCTAGTGAAATAAACTTAAAAAGGGGAAGATAAAGGTGAATGTAAATCTAGAGGATTAGGGTTTGAGAAAACACAAAAATTGGTGCACCTGCGCCATTGCAAACGGTTTTGAGTCATATCATTCAAGATCTCTAACCATCGACCACTATTGTCTCGCGGACCCCAACCAAGTAGTCTACACATATTAACATCACTCAGTCCACTTGTCAGTGACTTCATGGATTTGTGTAAATTAACTATGGTAATGCTTTTAAAGTGTCAAATTGTAACATACAAAGAATGACGGAAGTGCGTTAATGATGTATTGATGTTGTGGAGTGGTATGATGATTTCATTTCGTGAAAGATTGAAAATATTCATTTCTTATATATTCTCTTCTAATTTTATTGAAGGAGAATTTACGTAGCTCTGTTTTCACCGTACAACCTTTACTTTATGCTACTTTGATGTCATATATTATGAAGATTCAGTTTTGTTACTCAATATTAATAACTTGTAAACTGGACTCTGTACAGCATTTTTGTACTAGAAATTTTTTTATCGACAAGTTAGATTGTGTTATGTTTAAGTAATTTAGAATACTTTCTCTAAATTTTTTACGTCTCATTACAAGGAGTCCGGAAGATTAAATTGTTTCCCTTTTACTTATCCAAGATAACTAATAGTTTTCGTCTATAATTCAGTAAATATTTATTTCGTAATCCAATATTTTCTTAAGCATTTTGAAGCACGTGGTCAACTCTATCATGTTGGAGATTATGTTTATGTTGAACCAATGCGACCCAACGTTACTCAATGTCATATTGGTCGTATAACACGTATTAGTCGGAGAGAGCATCATTCACTGTCCAAAACGGAAGAACAAATGTCTAACAAGGACGACCAGTCGAAAACCGAAAATAATTGTGACAATATTGAATCATCTTCGAAGATTGATCATCCAACTACGATTAATGTCCGATTGTCTATGTATTTACGACCAGCTGAAGCACATCCTTCACGTCGAAGGCGTCTTTTAGCTGCTGAAGTTTTTCGTACAGCTCTTGGTGAAACAGTTCAAATTAATCAAATTATGGGACGTTGTCTCGTAATGCATATTTCGCAATTTATTCGTTACAAGCCAAAAGTTAGTTAACAATGCTATTCTTTCTTCTGAATTATAAATTTTGTCGTTTGTAAGAAAATGGCTAAATTGTCATGACATAATTCATTGTTGTGTAAATAATAACTAAACGTTACAATTCATTGACTCTTATGTAACCACTATACCCTATTGACGTAATTAATATCGTTTGATCATTTCAGCTATTGCAAATCTATTAGTTGATTTTTCACATACGTTTACTTAAACTTAGTTTTATTATTTATCTTTATTAAACATAATTATTTCTTGCAATATATCAACAGAGGATGGTTGTAGTGTTGTCATTTCATTTTGTTTGATAGTAAGCAATGCTTATCAATTAACTAGGTGGAATGAAGTGAACCTTAGTGTTGTGTATTTCACTTTAGGATGTGTATTTATTTATGGCGTTAGCCTTATTCATGGTGTGGGTTGACAAAAATATTAAGTGTCACTGCTTGACTTTATCAAGTGTTTTGTGTTTTAAGTTCTCTGAATCTCAACACATTTAAAACGAATATAAGAGGGAAATCTACTTTTTTTATGTGGAAGCTTTTAAGAGTAGCATCCTCTCACTCCACTCTCATATATGCATCGGCTGAAACTGCTACATCGTTATCGGCATAACAAAATATCAGTTGAAGAAATAGTATAAAAGACTAAACATAACATGTTTGAAGTATAAAAGTGATTCCTAATCTTTCTGCTGGCAAATGTTGAAATTGTGAAGATTTATATTATCAAATGATTTAAGTATCGAATTGAAACTGCACTTCACTATTCTGCCAGTAGTTTTTTTCTAACTTATTTCTTTATATATAATTATATTTTTGACTGACCACTCCTATCTTACTGAATTTAGAATCTTGAAGAACGTGATGTATTTATTTGTGAATCTCAGTTCTCCATTACATCCCAGTTATTTTTGAAAATCAGGGTAAGTTAATGCTGGGAAGTTGATTTGGTTTGTTTCTTATTTTTGTTACTCATATCTGGTAGTTCGGCATATTGTAACTTATGCAGTGGGAAACTATGCCGATGTAGTTAAATTTGTTCATTATTTAGTAAATTCATATGATATCTGGTGTAACTAGGCACTAAAAATAATGTTGATTACACAAGATTTGCAGATGATCTGAAGTACTGTTCAGTACCCTAGACTAAAGCAGTTTGTTTTCTTACTCCCCGAACCACTGAATTAATGTCTGTGGAACAACTTCGGGAGTTCCCATCCAGTGACAACTGTTGATCGAAAATAGATTTATTTAATTTTGGTCTTCTCATGACCGTGAAGACCACTATTATTGGTTTAGAACCTTCTTGATTCATCAACCTGGTATAGACGCAAGATATTTGCTTTTGCTTGTCTTATTTTTCTAAAAAGCACCCTTGTCACATGACATCTGTAAGTAGGAAATGAATGACGGAAGCTACAAAGCTATAAAAGGTCGTTTCGAAAGTGAGAGCGGAATTTTCTCACTTTTATTTGTACCATGGGATTTCGGGTCACATATATAGTCAGAAAAATAATGCCTAGTGCTTGATTTTTACTTTCTTCTTTTCATGTTCAACTGATCTATTAATACTATCCCCATCTACAGTGTCTGCAACCTCGTGACTTAAAAATAATTTAACCTGAGGCTCACAATTTTTATGGGGATTGATCTTTACATTCGCGTATTTTTTGTTTATCATTTTAGTAATAAACATAACTGGTTTTATAATACTGTTTTTCATCTTTATGTCAAAATGGACATTAATAAGTGTATTTTTGTTTCAAAATATGCTGGAAAATAAAAAACTTGATTAATACATCCATGACTAAATCAGTGCACTTTCTGGTTTTATCGGGTACACTTATCTTTAAGCAACGGTTGAGTATGAAACTAATATTCTAGAAACTGTGTTATTCATAGTTATCACAAAGGAATTCATTTTGTTACTCATACATTCGAGAGACCAGAGATTGTAACTTTTGGAATTTAATCCAGCTTTTAACGCCTATCTCGTATCTTAGTCAATCTAAGTGACAACATTAAACCGCAAACCCTGAAGATCATTGAAATTATTCTATCTGATCTTGTTATTCTCAACTGCTTCAAGTTATTTATTACTTTCTCTACTTCACTGAGAATGCTATGCCCCATGCAAATGTTCCATTCAAGCTGTCGGTATTTGGCGACTGTAGATTAAATAGATATTACTGCAACACTTTGTATCTCACCCATTGTCAATGTAAAGAACCGGGGCGATTTACCTTTCGTGGTGGTGTTTCGTTCTCTGAGCTGGTTTTTTTGGTCTATCTGAAGTTTGTGCTGATGATGTTGTTCAGAAGAACAATGAAAGCTTCACAACCAAAACAACCAGCTCAGAGAACGAAACGCCACCACAATTATCCACCTGAGCTACAAGTTTTCTCCACCATCTCAGATTTACCTTTCGTGTATCTGGAGACCCGATTGCTAATTCGTGTGACCTCACTACTATAGGTACAGCGTTAATTTCAAAAGCTCTTCTAGACTGAATTCCATTAACTAGTCGTTTGCGTGCTGTCCGACTAAACGGAACAGTAAAAACTTGAAAAGACACACCATTGCTTCTTTATTGTCTACGTCTACATTCCCACTGATCACACCTCAGTTGATTTAAAAGATGAATTTCATCGGAAGGAGTTCCTGAAGGCACTATCAGAGGCGGCTTTAAGAAAGTTAGGGGCAGCCAAACTAAAACATGAATCAAATCCACAGTCACTGACAATTGGATTGAACCATGTTAATAGGTGTAGACTACCTGGTTGGAGTGTGCGAGACAATCGAAATCGGTGGTTAGAGACTTTGTATGATTCGGCTCACAGTTATTTGCAATGGCCCCGGCGCATCCATTCTTTGTTCTCTTCCAAATTCTAAGCTTCTCAATCCCTTATAATTTTTTAAAAGTCTAATTTGTTGATTTATGTTTTGTTAAAACGAACCTCGACCCCGAATCATTTATATTACTACTAATACTGTTACTGCTACTAACTGCTCTGAGATTCAGCCTGATAACTTCAATCTCTCTGCGCTAGTGGGGTATGGTAACCTAAAGTTTTTATCTGTCTGTATTTAAATTACCTTAGCTTATTATTTTTTTTTGAAAACCCACTAGGGCCTTTTTTTAGCGTTTATCAGTTCCGTAGAATTATTTCTACGTAGAGGCTCTACTTTATTATGACAACCATACTTGTTAATGTCTCCAATGTTTTATGTACACTATAAATCTTATTTCATTTTCGTTTATAGGATTGGAATATACCACTTCCGACTGGGATTGAATTAGAAACCAGACCTACTCCTTTTGTACCAACCCGTTTACCTCCAAATGAACCTTTAGGAAATGCTTTAGAACAGGTTGATAATAGTTTATTTGTTCAAATGAATTATCCTTTGCCTCGGACTTTTCAAGTAAGTGTTTTATTCTTCAATGGATCTGATCATTTTCAGAAATTAGTTTTGTACCTAAAAATTTTTTAACTTGTTAACATTTAGGTATGAGTAAAGCTTCAGGTAAAAATAATAAACCACTGTTTAAGACTCTTAATCTTTGCCGAATATATATGTTACAAATATCCGACTACTACTTCAACACTCAAAAACTAGTTGGACGGAAGTTGCGGGAGGTCATGCAGTAGTAATGAAGGTGTATTCATAATGTTTTGCTTCTAAACCCTAAGTCGCAGAGGATTTCATGCATTTAATCACTCAATTCCATTCGTTTGTTGCCTTTCCATTCTCATGTCTCATTTTTAGTCCTTTTCTTTTCTGTACCCGTTTATATTTGAGTCTAATATCAAGTGTGATAGATTATGACTGACCAAATTGTTTGACATTTCTGATTAACTGGTGTTCATGCGTTAATTGGTTAAATGAATCTTATTCATAATATACCGAATAGAGTAGTAGATAAAGAGTAATTATTGTCATGTTTCAATATATATTAGTATTCTTTTTATATATTGTCTTATTGCTTATCATTCTTTATAGTCAATTGTTCTTCAAGATCTTACTGAAACTGAAGGAACTATAGTTTACGAACAGTATGTTCATGAGAATGGATTTTTAGTGAAATTAGGTAAGTGAATGGTACCGCATATAGTTTATATATTTCGCTCATTCACTTTATATATATTAGAGTTGTATGCAATGTTTTCTCTATCTAGTAGCATAATGACGGTATATTTAAATGTATTACTGAGGAGTAGAAAAATGTAAATTAGCGAAATGTCTGGTAATAAATCAGTCAGTCAGTTGCAACGTCGATCTTCGTACGTATGTACACAAGTTCATGTTGCCATACCACATTAGCACAGAGACGCAAATGTCAAATCAAATCCCATAGTGATAGAGATAGTAGAGGTATTAATGGTAATGAAGAAGACTACGGTTTGAAGATATTATTCAAGAAGTATAATTCAGTGAGATAAGTTTAGAAAGACAAAGGTAGAGGTGCTGATGAATCCAGAAGATTAGGATTTGAGAGAGCTCAAAGAATGGATGCACTTGCGCCATTGCAAACGATTTTGAGCCATGTCGTTCAAGGTCTCTAACCATTGATAACTTTCGTCTCGCGGACCCCAACCAGATAGTCTACGTCTACCAACATGACTCAGTCTACTTGTCAGTGACTTCATGGATTTGTGCCGTGTTTTGGTCTGGCCTCCCCTGACTTTCTTCCAACCTACTCCTACACCACAAAACATACTGGTAATAAATCTTTGGGAATTTTTGTTGTTGGCCAACGAAATTACTATCAACTACTAATGCAGTTAAATATCTGTACAAATTAATGTATTTTTGACTGAGAACACATGAAATTATTATGCTCATATATGATAAACCTACTTCTCTCTCTCTGTGAGAAATCCTGGATATGTCTTCTCTCTATTCCAATGCTATGCATGAATCCTAATGACAATTATAATAAAATAGGTGCTCAAGATAGAATCTGTGCCTTATTTTCAAATAATGTTAGTTTTGAAGTTAATTGTAAAACTTCATATGTTTGTTCTTACAGTTTTACATTGAACTGTGTTCATTCTTGTTATTTGTAGTTAGTTCTTATGTATATGTATGTGAGCGTTAAATTGCCCTATTTATAAACAAGATTATTTCATATCTTTTTTATAATGTAACTAATATAAAGGTGTATGTTGTTACTTTAGAGTAGAGTATATTTCCAAGTTATTGAAATGATATTCAATGAAATTAAATATCAAATTTAGAATAAGAAATTAGTGATAATTAGTCTTAAACACCAAAGAAACCTCCATATACTTTAGACTGTCAGCTCCCTTGTATTGCTGAAAAAGCTTAGAATTGATTTAGCAGTTAGAAATAAACACATTTCCGTTCAAGTATTGTTTAGTTCGCCTAGACTGTCTATCTACCACCATTGACCTTTGGTTTACCAATGGGATGATACGGTGAGATGACTCACGAGAATAATACTTTGTGATTATTGGTCCAGAATACAATTCACACACTGGCTCACTCACCCGATAGGCGACGTAGAACATAATGCAGCAAATAGATAATCATGCAGTTCATACAGTTCAGATTTATGAGTCAGTTATGCAATAGTACAGAATGAAATCCTGACCACACATCAACATAACTTATAAATTACAATAGGGGCATAGCTAAGCTGTAAGCGAAAATGAACTAATCAATGTATTCATAATAAAGTAATGATAACTTTAGAAAGCTAAAGCACATAACAGCAGTGTATGAATTATTATAGAAAAGCTAACAAATGTGAAAGTACAAAAAATCCAATAGTTTAAACATTGAATAATTATACAACAAAAGTGTAAATAATAACTTTAGGTAGGAACGTTCCGATAGTTCAACTTTGATTGATATTCATCTCATTATATCAATAATATACAAGAGTATTCATAGTTTATCAAAGCTGGATGGTGGGATTTAGCGAATATGTAATTGTTTCAAAAAAATTATGCCTATGGTGCATATTTATGTATCTACTTAACATTATAAAATATTTCTCCAGTAATTTTACCCCATGAATCTCAAGTGATTTTGTCCTTTTTATTCACATAAAGGTGACTTTCTATATGTTCCCTCTACTAATGGATCTACTGAACGTTCTATTGTACGAGTTGATAAATTGTGGAAATCTTGCACGTAAGTCATTACAAAAAGTAACTATTAATCTCTATAAACTGATCCCAATTATTTATATCTTTTGTGAAATTTATGCTGTTCAATTAGTGTGTATGCTTTCATTAAAATCTTGATTTTCCTAATGTATTAACGACTTGGTTAAGGTGATAGATATTTAAATTCGCATGAAAAGTTCCGGAAATATTGATTAAAATAACAAACAAATGTATGATAATCTATCAGAAGTTGATAATCACCATTTAAAAGACTAAATTCGTTCAATTCACTAAACAATTCAAGCTGGTATTTTGTCAAAACCCAGATACTAATGACTCTAGCTATTTTCAAATATGCTTATTGATTGTCAAATAATTTCCGCTGTCATTATCTCTCACAACATTTTCTAATTATTTTTTTCTTGAATCTAATTTTGAAATCTACCAGTCTGGTTTTTTTTAGAATGTATATGTATGTTTATCTTGTAGACTCTAGTAATAGTTATACGATCAGAAATTATAAAAAGTTGAACAATTTATGAATATTTTTCTCGTTCAATATAACTTAGTTCTGATATTATAATATTTGATCAATTCATTCTGTACTAATTTAACTTGGAATAGTGCATTATTAATACTCTTTCATTATTTCGCATAATGATACATCGTATATTACATATCAAAGCATTCTTATTCGACTTGAACGTTTGTATTATATCACAGATTGTTTGTACACATAAATCTGATACAAGTTTCATTATGTACATATTGTGGTGCGTGCTACTTATAAGTAGTATATGACGCGAGTGTAAACGTAATGTCTGGCAGCAGAAGATGGCGGAAGATCAAGAAAGGAAGAGTGGGAACATAATGGAATTCGTATGAAACGCATGAATAGTGAAATGTCAGACAATGGATTGATGATGGATTGAAGATTTGCAAATTAACGGTTACGATATGGTTTTCCTATTTTACTGAGTAACTCTGTAATTTTCGTTAAATACAATTCGGTTGCCCTCACCTGTGTTCTCCTTCACTACATTTGGTGTCGCTGCCTGCAAGAAGGAAGGAGCTCCCGTGGCCGAAGGAGTTTAAGGACGGAGATTTGTGGAGCTTCCTGGTGGAGTTTGAGGCCGTGGTGGGGCTGGTGGGTGTGAAGGGGCCCGGGGCGGCGTTGCTGAGGACACTGCGGGGAGGTGAGGCAAAGGCTGTATACGACAGCTTGGACGGTGCCGCCGGGAAGACGGCGTGGGAAACGGTCACGGAGCGAATAGTGACGGAGTTCGTCGGCCCATTGGACAGGGAGGAGGCGCCGCAGAGGTTCCGGTTGGCGAGGTTGTCTGTCGATGGTGACCCATTGGTGCTGGCTGTGGAGCTCACGATGTTGCTGCGCCGTGCGCTGCCGAGTATCGATGGGGAGTCGGGGGCACAGTTGTTGGCGTCGCAATTTATCGAGAGTGTGCCTGCCGCCGTGTCCCAGCAGCGGGAACTAGTAAACGCCACACATTGGATAGATGCCGTACCCATTCCAGACCAGCGGGCAAGAACAATGACCGAAGTGGTAGTCCGGCATATTGTAGCGTGTCACGGAATGCGGAAGGTGATATTAACTGACCAGGGTCCCTGTTTTGAAAGTGACGAGTTTAAAGCCCGTCTAAGACAGTTTGGCATCAAGAGGATACGAACTACACTGTATCATCCGCAGATAAACGGGTTTACAGAGAGTAACAGCCGGACGTTATAGGACTGGTTAGCATCTAAAGGAGGAGATTGGGAGTAAGAGTTACCATTGATTTTGCTGATCTCAAAGTGTGAAGGACCGTACGTTATCACGGAGAGAAGACAAGCAGAAGCGCGTAAATGCTAGTCAACTGCAGAGATGGTTTTAAGATTATCAAGTGTGTGAGTCACGGTAAGCACCAAAGAAGACAGAGGTACGGCGATCAGAAAGACTACGACGACTGCTTATTAAAAGGGGGGACGAGTGTGGTGCGCGCTACTTATAAGTAGTATATGACGCGAGTGTAAACGTAATGTCTGGCAGCAGAAGATGGCGGAAGATCAAGAAAGGAAGAGTGGGAACACAATGGAATTCGTATGAAACGCATGAATAGTGAAATGTCAGACAATGGATTGATGATGGATTGAAGATTTGCAAATTAACGGTTACGATATGGTTTTCCTATTTTACTGAGTAACTTTGTAATTTTCGTTAAATACAATTCGGTTGCCCTCACCTGTGTTCTCCTTCACTACAATATCTTTGTATTTGGATTAGTTGATTTCTTTTCAATTTTTTAATCCCTAAAAATTATTTTTGTTTATATTTCACTAAAACTGTTTTGCTTATCTTTCAAAAATTTCAGTCAAAATGCAATTTTATTTACTGGACCATTGTTCATTACTTCATCATTGGTAGATCATCTGCCGACACGTTTATTTTATCCTAAAGAAGTATTTCTTACTGGAGCTGATCATGCAACTCATGCACTTGCTTCTGCTACAGGGAAATGTTATGTTATGCGTCCATGTGATTATTCTCAAGGTAATTTATTATTGAACAGTTTATTACTATAATAAAGAATTATACTGTTAGTTGATTGGAATTAGTGTGTAGAAGGTCTTAAATCGTAGGTTTCATGTTGTTTGAGACTTGTTGGCAAGGCATATTCGTAATCTTGGAAAAACTGATGCCTACTGGTAGATTTGAACCCGTATCAATTTACAGCTCGGAATATCAAAAACAGCTTTTCACACCACGACCGGCCTTCTGTAGAACTGAAATCGAAATTGATCGGTCACCAAATAATGACCAGTATCACGTTTGTTTTATTATTATTATTTCGCCATCCTTCATTTGTGTTGAAAGTGAATAATTATAAAAACCTTACCGTGTTTTGTTTTAGCTCGACCTACCGAAATACCGGAACAAGATATTTATTTGTGTGATTCAAAATATTTTGAAACTGAGAAAGTAATTCGTAAACTTAAAAAAGGTTTGAAAGTAAGTGAACAATTGTGATGTCTGTATAATTTGTCATGTATCGTAATTTAAATCTTAATTTCAAAACTTATATACTGTTACACTCCACATAAAATTTACTTAGTAAGATATTGGGAAAATAATGGATTGTTTTCATTGAACTATTAGATCATTGGCTTAAACTACTTCTGCCTGTAAGCAGAAATGAATAGTGGCTAGTAGAGAAATCAACGACGCGCCTATCGATTGATTCATTGCTGTCCTATCTATTAATGAGAACATTCAAACTACTAATGCAAATGCATGAAATTCCATCTCATTCATTGCACAAGTCAGTGGCTGTCTGAACTCAGTAGGTAAGTGGATAGCGCCTTAGTCTGTGAAGCGAACGATATTGGGTTCAAGTACCAGATTGAACATCAACTCTGGGATACAGGTACATCCGACTGACGAATTCCAAATAGAATAAAACACTCGTCCTAAATTCCACTGTTAGCCACTATCCATCTCTGTTTATAGTGCTTGTAACTTAATGGTTATATTGAGACAATCTGCACAGGATGCATACATGCCAAATGAGACTGATCGATTGCAGCCCTAACTATTAATCGGAAGGTTTACCAATACAAATGAATTATTTCTACATCTATTCAAATGTTTCAACAGTTTGAGTTTCAATTCTTCTAAAAATATACAACAAATTTATACTTTCTGCGTTAATATGTTTGTTCCTCATGTTTATTACTCTTTGAAGTATGATGACTTAACATTTTACATAAGCTGACTTTGCATAGGTGTGTTTTTACAGAAATTCTTTTGAGAAGAGTATATGTTAAAGTAGCATTTTATTCAAAGCTGTTTCTTTTTCATTCTATCGATCATGAAAAATTATACCTGCTTATAGAGTAGGCTTTTTAAAGTATTATTAATAAAATATGTTACTATAATTTATAAATTCCTAGTATTGATTCAAATGAACTTCAAATCCATCATTTTCTATATGTACTCGTATTTATAATTTTTTTAATAAATATTTTAATATTGTCATAGATTTTGTCATAATTCTACAATTATGGCTACTAGTATTTGATGATTTGATTTAGTCGATAGGAGGAGGAAATTCTTAGCCTAATTTTCTTGTCAGTAAGGTGTACTCCGAGTTGTAAGGAGACTGGTCTACCCTAGCAGATTCAACCTTTTTGCCATTGACAGTTTCACAGTCTGCGACATTATCACTTAGGGTTTTCATCAGTTGAGTTACTTAGAATAATAGCCATATTATCACTATAAAGAACTAAACGAACTCGATATATTGGTTTACTATTTACAACTAATCAAACATTTATATCATAATTAATATCGATTTTTATCACAAACATTCAGTGGTGTGTATTTGTAGTTCAGTTGATCAATTCAAATTACATTGAAACTCATGTGAATTGATTTCATTCTAAAATATTATTAATAATTATAAAATATAAGAGGCATTGCACACTGCTTATGTGTATTGATAACTTACTTACTCCCGTTAACCCTATTGGAACATAGGCCGTCGACCGGCATTCTCCAACCTACTCTGTCCAACATCTTCGTTTCTAGCTCTGTCTAATTTTTGTTTATTCTTCTCATGTCTGTCTCCATTTCTCGGCGTAATATGTTCTTTGGTCTTCCTCTTTTCTTTTGGCCTTGAGGATTCCAAGTGAGGGCTTGTCTTGCAACGCATTTGCGTGCTTTCCTCAATGTGTGTCCTATCCACTTCCAGCGTTTCTTCCTGATTTCTTCCTCAGTTGGAATCTGTAATTGTATAACTTACAAAGCTTAATGTATAAAAATATAGTGTTTGTTCAAATGGCATATATTAAATAAACTTATGACACTGAAGTGTCACTTATTTAATTTGTGCATTTATAACATATCTGTAATTTGTGACTTTAGAATTTTACCATTTAAATTGTATTTCAAAATTTTCTTTGTATTACAATTTCATTACTTTTATTTAGAAATTTCAATTTACATCTAACAATGTACATGAAGATGAATTTTATTTCTTCCCTCAACAAATCATGCCTAGAAAAGTAAGCGCATCTTAGTAGTATCTTTTCATTAAAAACTTTAGTTTGTATTTTTTTTTAATGCTTTGTTTGGAATATGACAAATAGAAGTTTTATGCGTATGTATTAAGGTAATGATTGTAAATTTTTGGCTTCAAACGTGCATACTCTTATGTGGATTGATTGTTTAGCATAATACAAACCTAAACTTGTAATGTTACTTCCTAATTACCGTTTAAATTGGTTATGTTGACGTCACTATACTCTCCTACTCCTTCTCTCTACTTCATTTCAAATAACTGGACAGCCAATTATATGATGAGCGTTGTTCATAATGTATACTACATGGTCAGTCAGTCAGTTAGTCAGATGCAACGTAGAACTTCGTACGTAAGTACACCAGTTCATGTTGCCATACCACATCAACACAGATATATAATTGTCAATTTCAATCCAATAGTAGTAGAGGTAGTCAAGATATTAGAAGTAATCGGAGAGGTTAGGGTTAGAAGATATTATTCAAGACGTATGATTCAGTGAGAAAAGTTTAGAAATTCAGAACTAGAGGGGTTGAAGAACCCAGAAGATTATGATTTGAGAGAACACAAAAAATAGATGCACCGGCGCCATTGCAAATGGTTTTGAGCCATGTCATTCAGGGTATCTAACCGTCGATTATTATCATCTCGCGGAGCCCAACCAGGTAGTCGACAACTACCGACATGACTCAGTCCACTTGTCAGTAATTTCATGCATTTTTGCCATGTTTTGGTTTGGCCGCCCCTAGCTTTCTCCCAACCTATTCCTATATCGCAAAATATAGCTCGTCGAGGCAGTCGGTGGTTATGCATACTCAGCACATATCCCAATCACCTCAACTGATGGATTTTCATAGCTTCATCTACTGATTTGACATGCTTACCCAGCACCCGATTCCTACTAACAGCGTTGCTCACTCAGGTGTCCCAGGATTCACGAGCAATGCTTCGAAAACACCTATGATCGAAAACCAGTAATCTACGAATATCTTCTACTCTGACTGGTCATGTTTCGCAGCCGTAAAGTAAGACGGAGCGAACCACTGCACAGTACACTCGTTTTTTGGTTAGCAAACTGATATCTCGTCTACGTCGTGAGTGAAGCAAGCTGGAAAAAGCTAATCGAGCTTTGTGTATCCGTGATGAGATTTCGTCAGTCACCAGGACATCAGCACTGATGAGACTCCCCAGATAAGTGAAGTGGTCTACACTAAAAATACATGAGTAGTATAGTCTAAGTTTATTTCCCAACGTCTAAATTGTTGTTTAAATCATTCATATGAGATCAGGTATGGGTTAACTTATTTATTTAATCTCACTGTTCGTGTTATGATAAATAAATTGTATTATTTTTTTCTTTAATTTCATATAGGATGCATCACCTCTTTTGGCTCAAGCATCCCCTGAACCGTTACAGAATGATCAATTAAATCGTCCAGTATCTCTGGCATTTACTTGTGCACTTGCAGCAGCAGCTGGAACTAGTACCACTATGGTTACTGCACCAATTATCTCTCTTCCTAATTTACCTACAGATCCAACGAAACAAACTGATCACCGTATACCTACTGGATTAATGAATGAAAGCCCTGGATCTAATCCACTTGCAGGACATAATACAACTCCAGTAATCGGTCGTCCGTCAGTTAACAATGTTACACCTACCAATAATAATAATACTCTAGTTCATGGTATAACTTCATCACCACAAATTGATGCGCTGACTCGTGCTTTCATCGAGAATAATATAGATCGTACAGGTAAAAAGGTATGTTAGTTATTTTAGGCTTTTTGTAGAGGCTTCAACATTTGCAGAAGTTTAATTCTATCTGGATCTGTAAAGAATACATATACATTTAACGCTTTCGAACTGAATAAACGGTGTTTAATTCATGTAATTTACAGCTTAGGTGAATAATTTAAATGAGATTTGAAAGTAATCTTTTTATACATTGATTAACAGTTGTTATTGTAGTATATTCAATGAAAAACCTGTCTATTGGGTGACAAATCATATAACACTAGTAGTCCTACGTGAAATCACCTGCTTATATTTTTGTCGTATTAGTCAAAATCAGCTCAATATTTGGAATTTTTAACAGTAATGTAATGATCTGTTATCTTTCGACGTTATCACGACTGTTACACTCAAAAATGATAAACTGATTTTATCACCACTACAAATTCTCTGCTTCACTAATCAATTGCGTATTGTATTAGGGTCTTAATCTAACTACATTTTATTCCACTGAAGTCATGAACCAATCGATGTTAGGCCACCATTGGATACTTAAAAGCAGTGTACTACCATTTCGTCCTAGTATGGGGCTTGTCGGCAATGCTTATCCACGACTGCTCAGGCCAGAATCGGACCCAAAACCGTCGGTCTCGTGCGCTAAGGCTTAACCTCTTTACCACTGAACCGGCATCTAACAGTGTTATTCTCTAACTTGAATCAATCTGCGCGATAGCGCGACCATCATTTTACGTTAATTTCATACTGTGCATTCAGGTTAGCTTTTCCTCTATCTTTCAGAGGAAAATCCGTAAGCCGCCATCAGGCTATGTTTTATATGCTGGTGAAATTAGAAAAAAGCTATTACAAGAACGTCCTGACGCACCATTCGGTGAAATTTCTCGTGAAGTTGGCCTTCTGGTAAGTGATTGTGTTAAGTCTATCTGAACTATGTTTTTGTGTTTAGCCTGTTCTGTATCAAAATAGCTTACAAGTTACTTTAATTTCTTGACACCAACATAAATTATATGAAAGGCTTCATTATGTTTCGAAATGTTATCCCTTGAACCACCTTACCAGTGTCGAAACGGTCTAAACATTTTTTAAACACCTATCTCTTTGGTATATTCTAAAATATTTGCCAAGATAACATATCAACACTTTTTAGTGAGATGGCTATATCTTGTTTAGAATTTTGTGGTTTTCTAAGTGTATCGTTGTACCTATGTTGATAGGTTAACCGTGGAGTTGTATTTCTATTTTCCTTAGCTGTTCGTATTCAGAATACGTGTACTATACAAATCCATAAACACCTAAGTGTTGGTTGTTGTGTCGCTGTAACACATCACATCCTTATACACTTACTGTTCGTACCTAATTTTTCTGTTTTAATTCTAAAATAAACTAGTATATAAATACAGAACAATAACAAGATATTATCTCATAGTTTTCATTTACATTTGTATTTTAGATGTTTTCTTGTTTCCATTTCTCATTTCTGAACATTAACCGAATAAGGTCATAATTTTAGTCTATTGCATTTATCATTACATAGTTAAGTTACATTTTTTTCATATTTTATTACTATGAAACAAATCTTTGTAGTGGCGTCAAATGCCTACTGCTCAACGTGACTTGTATGAACAAAAAGCTCATCTAATCAGACAACATATGGCTGAAGAAGAGATGCAAATGAAAGCCAGAGAACAAGAACAGGTACAACTTCACCTTCAACAGCAAATGG